GCCTCTGCTGGCCGCTTGATCCTTTCCGCTTTCCCCACTACAGCTGACCTCGCCCAGATTACTGCCTTCCCCCCGCCCTTCTGCGCTACCCTATACCTCATCGCCATGCGCCTGCCTGATGGCTTAGCCACTGCTCGCGACCACTTCCTTAGTCAGCACCCTGCCGACCTCACCCTGACCGCTTTTGTCTCTACTCTGTCTGAGATAGAGAATCGCCAGCGCACTATCGCTCAGTCCCTATTTTTCAGGGATGTGCTCCCTCCTAGTGCAAGTACGCTGACGTCTCAGCCGCAGTTGCCACGATTGCACCTGCCCCTGAGACAGCAGCTGCGGCTTACCCGCAGTAGCCCCAGCGCCGGGGCCGACGTGGCCCCAAGGGAGGACGTGGTGGTGGCGCTAGTGGTGGTGGTGGCGGGGACAGTGGTTTTGACGAAGGGGTTGGAGCTGGTGCTCAGGAGCAGCAGTCGCCACAGTCGCAGCAGTAGCATTCGCAGCCGCAGCAGCAGCAGCAGCCGTCGCAGCACCAGCAGCAGCAGCCGTGGGCTCGCCTCCCGCTGGGGTGGCCAGGAGCCCCAGGAGGTGGTGGTCGCGGTGGTGGCCCTCGCAGCGTGGCGTCCACTGGCGGCTTCGGTGCTGTGAGCTGTCAGTGCCAGCTCCAAACCTGGCCCCTCCGTGGCACGGTGTGCCTCCGCCCGCACCCGACCGCCCGCTTCTTCCGCCGCCTCGATGACCTCTTCCGTCGGCGCTTCGGTCCAGCCCCGGACCTCAGTGACTGGCCGAGTCTGCTGCGCCATGGTGTGCCTGTGTTTGATTTAGACATGGATCGGATTATTTCTGCCTTGCATTCTCTGCATGCTGACGCTTCGAGTGTTTCCGGATCTTATTACTCTGTGTTCTCTAGCTTAGGCGTAGCACCTGTGTGAAGTTCAGACTCCCCTGCTGCGTCAGGCGTAGGACAGCTTGCTTTGTCTACCTTAGGCTCTACTCTTGCTCCTCCATCGTCAGCCACTACGGCGTCGCTGTCCTTCACTCTTGACTCCGGTGCGTCAGCCTGTTTCTTTTGCGACCATGCCACCCTTATGCCGCTTGCTGCACCGGCCGCTGTCGCTCTTGCTAACCCCTCTTCTGGTCCTGTAGTTGCTCGCAGCTACACTACCCTTCCTTGTCTGGCGGTTCCCTCGGGTTCCCTTACAGGCCTGCACATCCCTTCGTTCTCCAGGAACTTCGTTGGTGTCGGCTGTCTTCAGGACCTCGGCGTCACCATTACGTTCCCTGGTCACGAGTGGTACACGGTCTGTACCGAGACCGCCTCAGGTGGCCCCCTTGCGACGTTCCCCCGCGACCCTGTATCTGGCCTGTTCATGCTGTATACTTCTCCCCCCCCCCGGCGGGCGCGTCCTCCTCCGGTCCTGCGTCCCCCCAGGTTGTTGCGGCCTGCTCGTGTGGGTCGCTCACTCACTCGTCGCTGTTGTGGCACCACCGCCTAGGTCACCCCACGCTCCCACGCCTGCGTCACATGTCTCAGCACGGTCTCGTCCTAGGTCTCCCTGCGTTCCTCCCTGCACTCCCTCCCTTGCCTGCGTTGCCGTGCACGCCCTGCGTCGAGGGCCGGCTGCACCGTGCTCCTCACTCCTCCTCACTTCGCCCTGCCACTGCACCCATCCAGACACTGCACTTGGACGTCTGGGGCCCAGCCCCCGTCTCTGGACCGCGTCGCGAGAGCTATTTACTTGTGCTCATTGATGACTTCACGCGCTACAGCACGGTGTTTCCCCTGGAGCGGAAGGCCGACATGCCTGACGTTCTTATCCCGTGGCTCGTAGCTGCGCGCCTCCACCGCGGTCTCCCTGTGCTGTATCTCCACTCCACCCGTGGCGGTGAGTTCGCCTCTGGTCGGCTTAGACAGTTCTGTCGTGCGGAGGGCATCACCCAGACGTACACCCAACCGGACTCCCCGCAGCAGAATGGGGTCGCTGAGCAACGCATTGGTTTGGTCATGGAGGTGGCTCGTACCTCCATGATTCATGCCGGTGCACCCCATTTTCTGTGGCCGTTCGTCGTTCGCTACGCCGCACACGAGCGTAACCTCTGGTCGCGCTCCCAGCGGCCGCAAGTTTCTCCGACCTCTCTTGGACCGGGTTCCCTCGTAACGCGTCTGCGTTCCACGTTTAGGGCTGCCTCGCTCACATTCATGCCTCGTTCCCCCCCCCTAGTTCCTGGTTCCCACTCCCCCGGCCACCCCTGCTCCCCTCCCTCCCCGTCCTGCTCCGTCTGGTGTGCCTCACGTCACTCCCCTCCCGTCGGTTGCCCCGATCGAGGAGTCGGCTGACTCTGGTGGCCCCGCGGCGCGGTTCGCTCCGCCCGTCCCTCCCCCGGTCTCTCCTCCCTCCTCGTCGCAGTCGCCGCTGCCGCCGCTGCCGCAGCAGCCGCAGCCGTCGCCACAGCCGCAGCCGTTCGTGGACTCTGGGGGTGCTGGAGTTGAGGAGGGTGCTAGTTTTGGGGCTCCTGCTGTGGCTTGTCCCGGCGGGCTCGGGGGTGGCACCGGCGCTGGAGAGGTTTTTCGTTCTCGGGGTGCTAACGTGGAGTGTACCAGAGGTAGCAGTAGTGCAGCTGGTGGTCCAGGTGTCGGTGTCGAGCAGCAGCAACAGCACTCGCCGCCGGTGTCTGCCCTTCGCCTGCTCGGCCTTCCCTTCCCTGACCGCTCGCCTGCGCCTCCCTCGTCGTCTCCTCCTCTTCCTGTCCACGGTCTTGTGTTTCCTCCGCCAGACTCGTCCCCGGCTCGTTTCCACCCTCGTTCCCCTCCTGTTACTCCTCCTCTGATTCCTGACCCGACGCCTCCGTCTCACGTCTGATCTCACCGTCCCTCTCATGCTCGTCCTGTCTCTCCTGTTCAGCGTTCTCACCCTATGTTGCTTCATTCCCACGCGTCTCGTCCTCCCCTCCTGCCTTTGCCTCCTCCGTCGTCGCTTGTTATTGCTCCTCCCCCTCTGTCTGGCTACCTTCGTACCGCTCGTCCTCTTTTTCCTCGGGTCCTTGCCTCCCTTGTTACCGACCCGTCTGTTCCTGTCTCCAGTCTTGACGCTCTTCTCGCTGCTGTCGCTGAGTTTGCCTCTACCCGCCGCCTTGACTTCGCTACCGCTCTGGTCTCTGACCATGTCTGTCCTCCGTCCGTCGGGAGTGCTCCTGCCCTCAACAGTGACGTCTTGGAGGACCGGCAGTACGAGCTTGCTTTCGTGTCAGAGGCTGCTCCCCATCTCTGTTCCATGCTGCTAGTCCCTGAGGGTGACCCCGACGCCTTTGACATCTCGACTCCTCGCACCTACGCTGAGGCGACCTCGGGACCCTGGGCCTCTCAGTGGATAGTTATCATCGAGCAGGAGATGCATCTTGGAGGGCTACCAGCAACTGCGTCGACGCAATTCCCCCACCTGGAGTGAACGTAGTCGATGGCCGCTGGCTCTTCAAGGTGAAGTACCCCCTTGGAGAGCCACCTGTGTTCAAGGCGCGCTACGTGGCTAGAAGCTTCAGTCGGGGAGAGGGGGTGGACTTTTTTCAGACCTTCGCCCCGACACCGAAGATGACTACTCTTCGGGCTCTGCTACACGTAGCAGCACAGCGTGAATACGAGCTCCACTCTCTCGACTTCTCCACTGCTTTTCTTCAGGGCAGCCTACACGAGCAGGTCTACTTGCAGTTCTTCCCGTCTTCTTCTGACCCTTCGCTCTTCGTTCGTGCTGGCCAGACTCCGTTCCACATCCTTGCTGGGCACACAGTCGCTTCTTGGGCAGATGACGCTGAGACCCTCAGGTCCTCCCTGGGCTACCGCTTCAGCCTTGGTTCTGGTGCCATCTCGGGTCCATTCGCTCCTCGTCTGTTCCTCAGTCTAGCTGCGTGACTGAGATCTACGCCGGTGCCATGGCGGCACAGGAGCTCCGCTGGCTAATCTTCTTGCTCGCCGACTTGTAGGTGAGCGGCCTAGCTCTGCCCCGGTCCTGTACGCTGACAACAAGGCCATGATCCTCCTGTGTCAGGAGCCTCGACTTGAGGGCAAAGCGAAGCACACCCAACTGCGGTACTTCCTCCTGCGCGAGCTCCAGCAGCGTCGCCAGGCCCGCGTAGTACACTTGGCCTCCGGTGTCAACACAGCTGACATCTTTACTAAGGCGCTTCCGCCTAGAGATCATCAGCGACACTGCTTGCAGTTAGGTCTAGTCCTTGTTGACTCTCACTTGCTAGGACCTTGATTGTGTACTCCTTTATATTAATGCCTTCCAGACTGGCCTTGTGGCTTTTCTTCCGGTGGTCGGACTAGTAGTGGCGCCCTGGTTTGCTCTGTCTTGCTTGTACCGTTGTTGACTGGTCTTCGGGCCCCTGCCTCAGAGGTTGGACTAGTAGTGCCACCATGAGCTGCGTGTTTCTTGCTCAGCACTACCCCTTATCTAGCCTAGGTGGTGCGTCAACTTATATATATGTAGAAGATATTGGCTAGATAGGGTATGTTCTTAAGGGGGTATAACCCAAACAGTATATCTCTCCTGTTCTCCTTTGTCTTTGTCATTCTTTTTATTTTCTAACACATTGCCCCCGGAAGTTGAATGAAACTAGGTGAAAAATAAAATCCACAATAAACGCGATCCTAGTATACACACTGCAAGGGCTCGTGATTAGTTCTCTCTAGCTAAGGTGGGTGTGAGGGGTAACAAGGACACAAGATTTTATGACGGCAACAGTTGCGATAATATGGCATTCCGCCAGGAATTTGACACAGATTGATGTGAGAAAATAGTGAGAGAGTAGCTGGTTAGCCGGGGGAACATTATGTATTTGTTACTCCATGTTTGAAAGGTAGCGGGTTTGTCTTTAACAGAAAGGTTTTTGCTTTTCCTTCACGAAACTGGTAACCACGCCAGCTGGCAAATATTTTCCCGCAAGCAGTCTTTCCTTGCTGCAGGATTCTTCAACCACCCCACCACCAGCCCACGCATTTCAGCCATGCTCTGCAAGCACTTCAGAACCTCGAGATTCCCTCCACAACTAGATCTCTTCATAGCGCTCCTGCCTCTGGGCTTTGTTCCAGAGAGGCGGACCTTTTAGGTCCTGTGAGACGATTTACGTCAAAATTAGCGTGGGATCTGGTCGCAAGCGTTTTGGGTTATTTTAGCGGTACCGTCCGGACGCTGTGCGGAGGGGTTTACACTGAGTCTGCACACGGTCTTGTCCGACCCGTGGTGCCACCATGGGGGACTTCTTGCGGAAAGACCTGGCCGGCCCTCCAGGCCGCAGCAAGGCTCAAAATCGTGCGACTGTTCAACAACTTAAGCTGGTACGGGGAAGTTTTCCCTCCCTGTGTGCTGGTACGGGGAAGTTCTTATATTCGTCCATTGTGTTCCGATCTCTTCTGCAAATTGCGTTCCTTTGCCCCCTGTCCGATCGCTGTGTTCAGTTTCCACCAAGTGAGGCTGTTCAATTTTTTTTTTTCAATTCCTCGTATTATTTCCTGGTTTTTTTGCTGTTTCGATTTCTGATGGTCCATCCACGCGTTTCTCATGTCTCCCCCTCTCCCCCCACCCCTCTTCCTCGCTCTGCTTTTTTCAGATCGGCCAAAGTCATCCGACTGGCCTTACCCCGAGTCTTTTGAAGCTGTTCGAGCCGCGCCCTGCGCCGGAGTTCAAGCCGCCGTTGGAGAAGCGGAGAATGCCCGAGCTTACCGGTGAGTCCGCTCATCAGTCAGAGCCTACGTCTAGCCAAAACCCCTGTTTGCCTGCTCGGCGTTTTGCCGGTGTTGCGTGTCAGAAGATCTGCGTCTCCCCGCCTCCTTCACCTTCCTTCCGCGTGTGCGTACGTCCGTTCGCCATGTGATGCGCAGGCCTGGCGCAGTTCGTGGACCAGTTTGCGGAGCAGAACGAGACGGAGTACGGCCCGCCGACCACCAAAGGAGAGACCAGGGTACGTACGTCCGTGACAAACCCGCTCCTGATGTCATCCAGCCTTTTTCGCGGTTGGGCGACGAGGTCGCATCCCTTTTACGGCGCGCGCTTCGTTCAGGCGACGCTCGTCTGGCCTTAGGCTGAAGCGATCGTGTTCCTGCATACTGGCTGCTGCCCGTTGCGTCTGGTGTTGGCCTGGGAACATGCAAGGCGTCGATGGCTCATTGTGCTGGCGGTGGCTTTGTGTGGGCCGGGGTTTGTTTGGGGCTTTCATAGCGTGAGGGACTGGTGGGGGGAATGAAGGTGGAAATGGGGTTGTTGATATTGTTGTGGAAGTGGAGGAAGAGGGGGGGGGGGGGGGGGGCGGATGCGTGAATTGGGTGTGCGATGACGTGGTGCGGGTGCTGGTGCGGGGTGGTGCGTGCGTGTGCGTGTGCGCGTGCGTGCGTGCAGGAGGAGAAGAAGCAGCGTATTCGCGAGGCGAAGCTGGAGAAGGGCCGCAAGCAGGTCGAGGAGGCGATCGCCGAGTGTAAGTGCCTCCGTCGCCTCGCTCCGTCCTCTCGCTCTCTCCACTGCCTACCGCCTGTTGTCTCGCTTGCTTGAGGCTTTTTTTCTATGTCGTTGATTTGGCGCTGCCTTATGCATCATCTTCTTTTCTGTGTGCTTTTCCCCTTTCCGCGTCTTTTCCAGACAACCCCGCTGCCGATCCCAACATTGACGGCGACCCGTACAAGACCCTCTTCGTGGCTCGTGTCGTGAGTATTGCTCCCCGTCGCCTCATCTCGCCTGCTATCTCCACTTCCTGCCTCGCGTTCGCCTCCCCCCCCCCTCGTCCCCCCGCGTCCTTTCCATCCCTTCAAGTACTACCTCCTACGTCATTATCTTCCAGCGCTCTGTGCACCGTCTCCTCATCCCAGATGTCTCTAATCTTCACGACGCGATGCCTTTTCCCTTTTCATGCCCGCCCCGTCCCCGCCAGAGCTACGAGACCACGGAGACGAAGATTCGTCGAGAATTCGAGGCTTATGGGCCCATCCGCAAGGTAAGCCCGCTGATGCTTCTGAGTTAAGTAGCCGCGCCGCGCAAATGCTACGCCACGCTCGTGTCTCGGGCTACACAGCTCTGCCGCTTTCTCCCCTGCCTGCTGCTGTTTGCCTTTCTGTATGTGCTTCGGGCTCCATGATCCATCGCTGCCTGTCTGCCATCGTGTACTTGTGCGTGAGTGCGTGTGCGTGTGTGCGTGTGTGCGAGTCTGCGTGTGTGCGTGTGTGCGAGTCTGCGTGTGTGCGTGTGTGCGCTTGCTTGTGCGCGCGTGTGTGCGCGCGCGTGCGTGTGGCATCAGGTGCGCGTGGTGACGAGCACGGTGGACAGCAAGCCGCGCGGCTATGCGTTCATCGAGTACCATCACACGCGAGACATGAAGAGTGCGTCCTCCCTCCGCTGCTTCCACAGCCAGAATCCGTGTCTCGTGTCGCTAGAGATCCCATCTCTCCTCGTTGCGCGCACTCACACCCTCCCCTGTTCCTTCCCCCCTGCTTCCCTTGAGATTGCGTCTCTTCCTTACTGTCTCCTGCCGCAACTCCCCTCTCCGGATCCCCCATTCCTCGCGCCGGTCCTCCCACAGCGGCGTACAAGCAGGGCGACGGGCGCAAGATCGACAACCGGCGCGTGATAGTGGACGTGGAGAGGGGCCGCACCGTGCCCAACTGGCGGCCGCGCAGGCTGGGGGGAGGGCTGGGGTCCACGCGCACGGGCGGCGACGAGGTCAACCAGAGGCACTCCGGGAGGGACCCCCCTGCTCCTGTCGCCGCCCCGCCCCGTGTGGAAGAGCGGCCAAGGGAGAGGCCTGTGGAAAAGTGCGGAAGCAGAAGGGGGGTGGGGGAGGGAAGGGAGGGGCTTGGGAGGGGGGGGGGGGGGAAGGGAGATGTTCTGCTCTTGGGTAGCGGTGGGGAGGGGGGGAGGAGTTGGGCTGAGGAAAAGAGGGATTGGTGAGGTTTGCAATGGGCTTCTTCTGCTTGTGCTAAGTGTTTCCGTCCTGCGCTAAAGCTCTGCACAGTCCCTCGCGACCCACATCCTCCCCCCCCCCCCCCCCCCTTTCGCCTCCTTTCCTACTCACCCGTAATCGCTTCCTTGCTTTCAGTCCCGTCCACCCCGTCTCTCCGCCACCACCTGTCTTTCGTTCCTGATTCACTGCGTTCCGCCCCTCTTCACTGCCGTCCCTACACCCTGCCCGTAACTGTCCTTACCACGCCCACAATCATCCATCTGCTCACTCTTTACCCACCCTCACTCCCGCCCCCCCCCTCCCCCCTCCCCCCTCCCCCCTCCCCCCTCCCCCCTCCCTCCTCCGGCTGTACCTCCCCCCCGCCCCTCCGTTCCGGCTAACTTAATCCGCCCCTCATTCCCGTGAATCACGCGGACTGTGGTGGCAGGGCGCCGGAGATAGGCCCTCCCGAACGAGGAGAGGTTGTGAAGAAGGAGGAGGCTCCGCTTGAGGAGCGGGCGAGGAGCAGGGAGCGCGATGCGGACAAGGGCAGGGAGAGGAGCCGGGAGAGGAGCCGGGAACGGAGCAGGGAGAGGGATCGTGACAGGGGCAGGGACAGGGATCGGAGGAGAGATCGCGAAAGAGATTATGATCGCAAGGATCGGGATAGGGAGAGGGACAGAGATAGGGACTACGACCGCAGCTACCGCTCACGCTCGCGCGACCGAGAGAGGTAGGCGCCAAGGTTTGTTTGGGCCTCTGCACTCGGCTAGCTCTCTCGCTTTTGCTCCTGCTTTCAGACGCTGTTACCTTAAAGGTAAGGAAAGCTGAGCATGTGAGTCATGAAGGTGCAAGGTTGAGACCACTGCAGTGGGTGATGTTGTTGCTGGGTGGGTTATTGAAGCATGGAGCTTGCATATTGCCTCTGTGTTTTGCTCTCCCCGCAGGGACCGCTAGGATGGCAAGGAGTCCTGGTACAGCCTCTCCACGGTGTCGTCTAGAGCCGGTGATGGTGAGAATGGGCGCCTGCACTGTTCTTACCTCCAGTGCTTCGCCTATAGTCACACAGCTGCGCCAGAATGGCACCTGTATTGTCCAACATCCATCGCTGCCTGCTGCAAACCCGCCGTTCACACCTGTTTGATGTGGTCTTCAGCCACCAGGGTGCTTCACTGGTGCCTCCAGGTTTCTGTTCTGCTTTGTAGCTGCCAGGGTAGGTGCAGCCGCTGGTTTGGCTTGTATCGAGGTAGTGGTGACATGAGGAATAAGGGGGAGGGGTTGAGGGGGGTAAGGGAGGGTGCAGGCTGACTAGAAGCATGTGCCAGCTATTTTCTGCTGCTGTTGCTTTTGTTTTGGGCCTGGTAAGGGCCTTCCAGTGTGTGCTGTGTGGTTCCCACAAGGACCTTCACCACTGCGACTTGGTTGCCCTCGGCACGGGACCCTCTTGATAGCGTGCATCGCATCGCACCCCGGATTCTGACAAACCAAAGAATGGTAATCAATTGAAACAGAAAGGTATTTTGCTGTCATCTCTTGCATTTCGTCATTCTAGTTCTGCTTGAGTTGTCGTGTCTGGCAGAGTAAGGGCTCGTAAGTAAGTGTGCTGATCTAGGCCTCAGCTCGCAATTCGTCAGGGTCCTCCATTTCTGAAGGGTCTCTATCTATGCAATACCCTGTCCATCTCTTGCCATCTGGCTGGTCTGAAGTGGGCGTGCTTACGTGAGGCAGTACAGATTCTGTGCTACAGAAACATTCGCCCATTTGAATTGAAACAGTAGTGGTGTGCAGTTGCTAGTGTACCACCATCGGTGTAGACACTGCCTGTTCTGAGAAATGACCAGGTGCAACGTGGTGCTGTTCATACCCAGTCACGCTAGCTGTGCAACCAGGGCCCTAGATTGGTTTTGAGGCTTCCTGATCCATCAGGATTCTCCCTGCAGAAAAATCTGAATTTTCAGGGTCCTCTAAAAAAAATCTTTAGCCATCAGAATTACTTCGAAAAATATGGATTTTTCAATATTTTCATACATGTTATAGTTCATGAATTTTGTGAGTTCAAGTCTTGGTTTTTGGGGGTGCTGGGAAATTCGTAGCGAATTCGGGCGTGTGGCGAGATTGGAGGATGGGCAGGAATCGACAATTGGTGTGGGGGAGAGGGGGGAAGCGTTAAAGCCCGCGGCTAAAATAGCAGACCTGGAAACTGTCAAACATGTGTATTTGTTATGTTTGTATAGACTGTATAGGGTCACCTCTTAGAGGGTACAACACTTATGTATATCTGTGTGTACTCTCACTCTATTATACACTTCACTAATTCTGATATGGTATCACGCGTAGGTTAGGATCCCCCCCCCCACCTACCGCTTCCGCTCACCCCCCTACCTCCTAGCCCCGTCGTGCCCCTAGCCCCGTCGCGACCCCCCTAGCTCCGTCGCGCCCTTCCTGGGCCCCGTCGCGCCCCTCCTGGGCCTTGTAGCGCCCCTCCTGGGCCCCGTCGCGCCCTTCATGAGCCCTGTAGCGCCCCTCCTGGGCCCCGTCGCACCCCTCCCAGGACCCGTCGCGCCCCTCCTGGGCCCCGTAGCGCCCCTCCTGGGCCCCGTCGCGCCCCTCCTCGGCCCCGTAGCGCTCCTCCTGGGCCCCGTCGCGCCCCTCCCAGGCCCCGTCGCGCCCCTCCTCGGCCCCGTAGCGCCCCTCCTGGGCCTCGTCCCGCCCCTCCTAGGCCCCGTAGCGCACCTCCTGGGCCTCGTCGCGCCCCTCCTGGGCTTCGTAGCGCCCCTCCTGGGCCCCATCGCGCCCCTCCTGGGCCCCTGTAGCGCCCCTCCTGGGCCCCTCCTGGGCCCTGTACTGCCCCTCCTGGGCCCTGTACCGCCCTTCCTGGGCCCCGTACCGCCCCTCCTGGGCCCTGTAGCGCCCCTCCTGGGCCCCGTCACACCTTCAGGCCCCGTCGCACCCGCCCGGCCCCGTCGCACCAGCCCGGCCCCGTCGCGCCCGCCCGGCCCCGTCGCACCCGCCCGGCCCCGTCGCCCCCTGCCCGGCCCCGTCGCGCCCGCCCGGCCCCGTCGCACCCGCCCGGCCCCGTCGCCCCCTGCCCGGCCCCGTCGCGCCCGCCCGGCCCCGTCGCATCCGCCCGGCCCCGTCGCCCCCTGCCCGGCCCCGTCTCAGCCGCCCGGCCCCGTCGCACCCGTCCGGCCCCGTTGTGCCTGCCCAGCCCCGGTGCGCCCCTCCCGGGCCACCGTTCCGCTCGCCCGGCACCGTCGCACCGGCCCGGCCCTGTTGCACCCGCTCGACCCCGTCGCACCAGCCCGGCCCCGACGCACCCGCCCGGCCCCGTCCCACCAGCCCGGCCCCGTCGCGCCCGCCCGGCCCCGTCGCACCCGCCCGGCCCCGTTGCACCAGCCCGGCCCCTGCGCTCGTCCCTACCCCGGCCCCGGTCCTCCTCACTGGTACGGTTCCCCCCCCCCGCCCTGCACTGCCCTGCACCGTAGTGCCCCGCACCACACCGTACTGCCTGGCACCGCACTGCACCGCACTGTACCGTACTGCGCCGCACTGTACCGCACTGTACCGCACTGCACCGCACTCCACCTTGCTGCACTGCCCTGCACCGCAATGCACTGTTCCTGATGGCGGCGGAGCTTCGCTTCGACGCCGAAGGCCAGCCTCTGGAGTTCGAGGCGTGGCTTGCCGACCTCCGCCGCCAACTCACTGGCCAGCGGCAGGATGGTGAACCGCTTTCCGCACACCTTGACGGTACGCTCCCCTGCCCAGACCCCCCTGCTATTCTGCCCGCTGACTCCACCCCCACTGCGCGCGAGTCTACTGCTGCCACTGCCCGTGCGCGCCCTGTCTGGCTTTCTCGCGATGCTGTCGCCCAGCTTGCCATTAGCAACGCCCTTCCCCCGTCCGAGCGCCCTCGCTTTAGGTCCCTCACTACTGCTCAGGCATACTTAGATGCTGTCATCCAGTGCTATTCCACCCCTCCGGCTGCCTCGGTGGGTCGCCTGATCCTCCCGATGCTCTTTCCTGACCTTGCATCTTTCCCCACTGTCTCTGACCTCGCTGCCCACCCGCGCTCGATAGATGAGACCTGGCGCGCTGCCTGCACGGACGCACAGCTTAGAGCCCACCAGCCGCCCATTACCTCTACCCTCTACCTGCTTGCCACCCGCCTCCCTGACCGCCTTGCTGTCGCCCGCGACCGCTTCCTTAGCCTTCACCCCGCAGACCTCACCCTCACTGACTTTGTAGACACCCTGACTGTGATAGAGACCCGTCACCGCTCCATCGCCGAGGCGAGCGGTGTCGTGCCGGTCCCTATCTTTCAGGGTTGTGCCCCCGCTCAGTGTACCTTCTCCGACGGCTCTGCCGCAGTGGCTGAGACTGCTGCTGCAGCACAGTTTCGTTCGGGGAAGGGCCGCCGCCCCAAGGTTGGGCGCGGCGGAGGCGGAGGCGGGGGTGCCGGAGGGGGTAGTGGTGGGGTCGGGTTGTCTGGTGCTGGAGCGGACAAGGGGACCCTGCCCAGTCCAGCTGAGCCGCCGCCCCTGCAGTTGCAGCAGCCCCAGCAGCCGTCGCAGTCGCAGCCTTCGCAGCAGCCGCAGCAGCAGTCGCAGACGCGGCAGACGAGTGTCCTTCCGCCCGGGTGGCCCGGCGCTGGCGGTGGCCGGGCGCGTGGTGGTGTGCCGAGTGGTGGCTCTGGCGGCGGGCGTTGTCAGTACCAGATCCAGACCGGTCCTCGCCACGGCTTCGTTTGTGGTAAGATCGGTCACTCCACTCCCCGCTGTTTTCGTCGCCTGGACGACCTCTTTCGTCAGCGCTTCGGCCCGTCGCCAGACCTCCCGGACTGGCACAGCATGCTTAGACGTAGCATTCCGATTTTTGACCTGGACATGGATGCCATTGTTTCTGCTCTGCATGTGATGTATGCTGATGACTCTAGTGTGCTTCCAGCTTATTACTCACTGTTGCCTAGTGTAGGTGTGCCTAGTGTAGCCTCCCCTGCTGCGTCAGGCGTAGGATCCTCTGCTTTGTGTAGTCTTGGTGCTTCCGCCGTCGTTCCGTCGCCAGATGCCTCTGCTTCGCTTTCCTTCACCTTGGACTCTGGCGCTTCTCGGTGTTTCTTCCACAACTCCACCACCCTGACGCCGCTTCCTGTTCCTGCTGCCGTTTCTCTTGCTGACCCCTCCGGCGGTCCGGTAGTCGCCCGCAGTTCCACCACCCTTCCCTGTCCGGCGGTTCCTTCGGGCACTCTCACAGGTCTGCATATCACCTCGTTCTCCAGGAACCTAGTTGGTGTCGGCTGCCTCCAGGACCTTGGCGTCACCACTACGTTCCCTGGTCACGAGCGGTATGCTGTCTGTACCGAGGCCGCCACTGGTGCCCCCCTGTCCACGTTCCCCCGGGACCCGGTGTCCGGCCTGTTCACTCTGGACACCGTGACCCCCCCGGCTGGAGCGCTCACCCAGGTTGCTGCTGCCTGCTCCTATCGGTCCCTCACTCACCCGACCCTCCTTTGGCACCACCGCCTAGGTCACCCTGCGCTCCCGCGTCTGCGTCACATGTCCCAGCACGGTCTTGTCCTTGGTCCCAGGTTCTCTCCCCGCGTTTCCCTCCTCCCCCGCCCCCCCTTGCACGCCTTGTGTCGAGGGTCGGCTTCGCCGTGCCCCTCACTCCTCCTCGTTTCCCCCTACCGCCGCGCCGCTGCAGACCCTGCACCTGGACGTCTGGGGCCTCGCCCCCGTCCCTGGGCCGCGTCGAGAGCGCTACTTCCTTGTGCTTGTCGACGACTTCACTCGTTACACCACAGTCTTTCCCCTGGAGCGCAAGGCCGACGTGCCTGGCGCTCTCATCCCTTGGCTTGTCTCTGCGCGTGTCCACCGCGGTCTCCCTGTCTTGCGTCTTCACTCAGACCATGGTGGCGAGTTTGCCTCCGGTGTCCTTGGTCGCTTTTGTCGTGCGGAGGGCATCACCCAGACGTTCACCCTACCGGACTCCCCACAGCAGAATGGGGTCGCTGAGCGACGCATTGGTTTGGTCATGGAGGTGGCTCGCACCTCCATGATCCATGCCGGTGCACCCCATTTTCTGTGGCCGTTCGCTGTGCGCTACGCTTCTCACCAGCTTAACCTGTGGCCGCACCCTCAGCAGCCGCAGGTTTCGCCGACGCGTCTTTGGACTGGGTCTCCTGGTGACGCGTCTGCGTTCCACGTCTGGGGCTGCCTTGCTCACGTTCGTGCCTCCGGCACGGACAAGCTCACTGCCCGCACCCTTCCCTGCATCTTCCTCGGTTTTCCCCTTGACGCGTCCGACTGGCACTTTTACCACCCGCCGTCTCACCGCTTCTTTCACTCTCGCGACGTCACCATTGACGAGTCCGTTTCCTACTACCGTCGCTTCCCCCACCGTGGTCCCCCGGTTACCCCCCCCCTGTTCCTGGTCACTCCTTCCCCGGTAGTCCCTGCCCCTCCTCATCCTCCTCCCCGTCCCGCCCCCTCTGGTGTGTCCCACGTCACCCCCCTTCAGTCGGAGGACCCGGTTGAGGAGTCTTCTGACTCTGGTGGCCCTCCTGTGCAGTCCTCGCCGGCCGCCCCTCCCCCGGCGTCCCCTCCCCAGTCCCCTCCTCCACCGCCTCTGCCGCCGCTGCAGCCGTCGTTGTCGCTGCCGCCGCCGTCGCCGCCGCCGCCGTCGTCGCAGCACCCGTTCGCTGACTCTGGGGGTGCTCGTCCCGGTCGCCCTGGGGGTGGCCCCTCTGGGGGTGCTGGTGTGGAGAGTGCCGGTGGTAGCCGAGGAGCGGCTTGCGGTCCAGGTGTCGCCCTTGTGCCGCCGAAGCAGCAGTCCCCGCCGGTGTCAGCCCTTCGCCTGCTCGGCCTTCCGTCCCCCGACCCTGCGTCTGTTCCTCTCCGACCGTCTCCTCCTCTTCCCGTCTACGGCCCTGTGTTCCCTCCGCCGGACTCGTCCCCGG